AGTTGTACCTTTCTGTAATGGTTTCCATCTGCTGAAAAAAGTACAAAAGAAAGGAAGAAAGAAAGAAAGAAAGAAAGAAAGAAAGAAGGAAGGAAGGAAGGAAGGAAGGAAGGAAGGAAGGAAGGAAGGAAGGAAGGAAGAGAAAGAGGAAGAGGAAGAAAAAAAATTTCTTTGATGAGGTGTGAGCGTTACACACTCATGTGAGTATGTGTAAGTGTTCTCCTGGTTTTTATCACTATGTCCTTCCCATATATTTTTCTCTTTAGTTTTTCTCACATATTGACCCCAAGTTTTCTCCTCAACAACCTGCTATGCCCAAATAGTGCTCACTTTCCTCTGTGCAAGTCCAGTGTTCCAATAAAACCAGATCTGGATGAGAGGTCAAGGCTGTGGGCCTTCCTTTGGCAGTCATCCCCGCTGACAGGATTCTCACATGTGTAAATCTTTTAAGAGAAACACTGCAGACAGTGTGAGTGACCTGCCTTGGGTCCGATGACATCACAGGGACCACCCTCTGTGGGACTCTCCCCATCTCTTTCACAACATTTGAACTCAGGCAATGGAATCCAAGGCCACCCTGAAGAAGAATGGAAAGAAGTATCACAATATAGCAGCTTGAAGACTGGAGAAGGCTGGGAAGATGGTGGACAAACAAGCAGGACATTCCAGCTGACCCCTGCTTTGCCAGGTCCCTGAGGTGTTTGCCTGGAACTTCCTCTTATGTCAAGGCCTCCTCAAGCCAGTCTTATTCTCATAGTTCACAAGTGACTTGGACAGGGCTGAAAGCGGAAGGTGTGACACGGTTCCTTGTGCTTCTTGACTCAGTGGCGGTGAATTAGAAAATAGTGTTTAATATTAAAGAAAGATAATTAATAATGCAAAGTGTGTTCTGATTAAAAGTTGAAGAGAAGGATAAAACAAGTTCCATTGCCATCATTATCCATGAGAAGGCACACAGCAGTTCTCTGAAGTGTTCATGTCTAAGCAGCTGAGGGAAAGCCTTAACCCAGCAGCCTTCAGCCTTCTCTGCACTGATTTATACTAATGGTGCCCTTGTTTTCTGTTTTGTTTTTGCAACTCTTCTTAAGGCCATTCAATTCAAGGACCTTGTGGGCTTGAGATGGCTGTTATAGGATTTACATTTTCATAGGCCCTTTGGACAGTGTATTATTAAATAGCGCCCCCAGTGTTCTTCCCAACCCCAATTGCCAAACCACAGTTTCCCTGTAATTGCTAGCACATTCACTCAGCTATTCAATTACCAGACAGACACCAAGCCCCAAAGGATGGTGGGCTCTAAGAGAGGGACACTCTAAAATTCTGCCAGTGCTATTCTCATGTATCTGAGGCTGGAGAGGGCTGCAAAGTCTTGGACATGATGAGTGACTCTTTCAAAAGAAGATGAAGTGGGGTGGGGCTCAAATGGGTCAGTGGTAAAGGCTTTCACTGCCAGTCCTAACACCAAGAGTTCAATTTCTGGGTCCATGTGGTAGAAGGAGAGAGTCAGCTCCCACAAATCACCCTCTGACCTTCACATATTTGTACACACACACACACACACACACACACACACACACACACACCTAAACAAACAAACAAACATAATTTAAAGATTTTTTTAAATGGGGCTAGAGAGATGGCTCAACAGTTAAGAGAGCTTTCTGCTCTCCCAGCAGACCCAAGTTCAGTTCCCAGCACCCACATCAGGTGGCCCGTAGCTACCTGTAACTCCAGCTCCAGGGCATCCAGCGCCCTCTCCGACCTCCCCTGACACCTGCATCCCACACCCACGCCTCTCACATAGACACAAATTCACAGGACCAAAATTAAATTCAGCTGTTTTGTTTTGTTTTGTTTTTCCTAAATCAGCTTTGAAAAAAAAACTCTGAAAGGGCATCAGTAGGAAAGGTTTGACACTCATTCCCTTTGGAGCGATATTCTCAGGGCTTTTTTGTGCTTCCTGCACTGGGGAAGGTCGCTGTGTGTGTTATTAACTTGTTTTCCTTTTAGTCCATCACAGACTAACGATTCCATCCAATACAAGTAAATATAACAACTAACTAAATAACAAAGGCTTACAAAAGACACGCCTGACTTTTATAACACCGAACAAATTACGCTTCATTTAAAAATTAATATAGAGAGCCACGTTGAATTGCTGTAACTTTCCAAATGCTCACTTTCAGCTTCTGTCCTTGTCTAGCTCCTAATGAATCACAAACAGGTCTCGGACTAGCATAAGTTTGCCAGTCACACTTCAAACGATGCAGCCCCTAAAGACTGTGGCTCATGGATCTGCGTACAGGTGCTGGAGCTATGAAAGACAGCCCCAAGGGGGCAATCAGACGTATGGTCTTGGAAGCATCAGGATAGCTGGTCCACCAGGTTATCCTAAACTACAGGAGTGTCTCAGACTGCCCTCTCAGAGTGGCTAACAGGGACAGCTAAGCAGCAGGGTGGAGAACGGCAAGGGCCGGAAGTGCTGTGAGAAGCTGCTCTCCGGCTGAGCACTTGCTCAGACTTGTACAGCTGCTGTCAAAGCCGTCCAAAGCAAACACAGCTCTCCCCGCAGCAGACTCAACAGAGCAGAAACCAACACCCAGAAATCAATGAGATGGCCCAGTTCATCATGTCACACAGCCCACTGTCTTCAAATCAATGATCCCAAATACAATAACAAATGATACTATTAACTAGCGCAGGGGTCAAAGCCAAAACCCAGCAACTCATTATTATAAACCAACAGAACTCTCAGATTTTTCCAGGTCAACTACAAGAAAGAGTTATAAGCCTCTCTTCTCAATTGCACTAAATCTCACCCGTGTCTAATTGCATATGTGCAAGGCTAAATCCTTTTTCCCTTCTGCCTGGCCAGCTTGCCTCTTGAAGTGTCTAAGCCAGGGGCTTCACAGAGGGAACAGGGCAGACAGTGTGGTCAGGTTGAAGGAAACAAGAAGTCAGGAGCCGGCGCAGAAGGGTTTAAGAGACCATCTGCTTGTTGGGGGATCTAGACAGTCTGAGCTCCAGTTTCTCCATCCATAAAACAAGATGAAGGGAGGCCACCTCCCTAGAAATACAGATGAAAATGTTTAGCCATCCACCATAAAAGCTAGGCAGTTGTGAGTCCTCGCTATAAAGAAATAAGCTGGCAGAGATGTTTCAACCATGCCACATTAGAACTGTGCTTTACAGTTTACCTCTGCCTGGCATCAACTCACTTCTTGGTGTCACCCACCCTCCTCGGTTCCCAGCATCAACAAGACAGGGTTAGGAATAGGTAAGATCATGCCTACCCAGAGACTTGGGGAGGGGAGTAGGCACACAAGGGATCTGTTGAGAGTTCGCCAGCAGTACCAAAAGTCATTTGACAGTTCCTGGGACGTTTGGGCTGTGCTAGCGGATTTGGTAAGTCTGTGGCTTGTCTCAAGCTCTCTCCCACTATCTCTTTCGTTCTCATTTAGCAGGAAGTCATTGCCCTGGGTGTGGGTTGTTTCTTTAGCTCAGTGTTTTGGAAAGTTTTCTGTCGCTGCATCCCTGTGAAATAAAAACGGGACGCCGCTTACCCCGGGCTGTGCTCTGACATACGCTTATTAGCATCCATGTTAGCGCAGGTGAGATTTGGCCCAGCTCCACCACTGTGGCCTTGGGCAAATGAACCACTCTGAGCTTCTGTTTTCAATTGTAGCATAAGTACAATTGCTGTCCTGCCTTTCTCACAGATACAGACATGAAGATAGAAATGATCAAGTAAAGAGAATTTTGAAAATCACTTAAAACATTCAACTTACATATCATTAAGCTATTCTGTGGAACAAATGATATTATTAGTTTCATCAAAGAAAAACAATTTTGTAGAATTCTCTTGCCATCTACCAAGCATAACAGTTTTGATTTTAATTTTTTTTAAAACATAATACGGAGTTTATAAATCTTAAAAAAAAGATAAATAAAAGCTATGCAAGCTTTGGTGTTTCTAGAAAAAATTGGGGTTCTCGTGCCTAGCCTATCTATATGTATTTGTACCTACATTGTAACCTTGCATACTCAGTGTGGACAGAATTTTGCAGAATACTGAGTCTGATCAAGAAAAGGCCCATGAAAAGGCCTGGCATTGCGCTGTCATCTGTTCCTGGGAAGAATGATGAAATACAGTCCTTTTGAAAGGCATTATTTTTTTAAAGACATTATTAAGGTCCTGAGTAAATGTGTGGTCATTTTCAATTAAAATTGAGTCAAAGAGAGTTTGAATACAAATGTATTGCCAATCTTCCCCTTTAATAACATTATTGAATGTCAAAAAAATGTAACTAAAATTTAACCAAATCTGGTCACGCTTGAAGGAAAGGGCAAGACAAGGAATGTGCTTGCCGTGAAGCGCATGGGTTTCTCTGGATGACATCCACACTACAGCTAAGCCACTCCACAAAGCCACAAGGACTTGTGCAAGGCTCTGTCTTTCTCCATCATAAATCTATGGCCAAATGAGAAGTGGAGAGGAATTAAATAGGATAGACATCGCTTCATTACTGCTTCCTAATGCTGCAACCCTTTAACCCAGTTTCACATGTTGTGGTGAAAATTAAACCATAAAATCATTCCATTGTTATTTCATAACTTCAGTGTCGCTGCTGCTATGAATTGTAATGTCAATATTTGATATGATAATGACCTACAGTTAAGAGCTACTGCTTTAGAGCAAAGAACATCTTTGAAGACTCACTAGGGTCTTACGGCTTGGGTATTTTTTATTCCCTAACTATTTGTACCACGAGTACTCATCCAAAAATGAGTTCTTCATTGCATACTGACAGCACAGAACCAAAACTTCCCCCAAGCTTATAGATACTTTGAAAACTTGGGTGTAAAAACTCTAACCTTTGGGGCAGATGAGGTAAGAAACTTTCAAGAACAACAACTACAAAAAAAAAAAAATCATCTTCAGAATCTTCTTCATCAGCACCGGAACAAGTACTTCATCTGTGCTCCTTAATGCTGTAATTATGAGGTTTTCTTCATTTGCTCTGTTTTTCCTGATAGCTGGGGTTTATAGGTCTTCAGAGTGTAAGTATCTCCTGTTCTGGCCACATGTGAATGTGATGTCAGTCTCTAGCGATTATGTCGTTACACTGTAAACACAATTTTTCCTCTTACTCGTTTTGGCTTATACAACTGCTAACCAGGAAATATATAGTAACTATCGGGTAGCATTGCTGTTTCGTTGGTCTCGGAAAAGATCACACTGACAGCGGTGCCTGCTGGATCATGTAAAAGCTTTGGCATACTTTTGCAGGTTTCCATACTGACATTATTGGAGGGAGAGAAGTACAGCCACCCTCCTGGTCGTCGATGGATTCCATCCAGGACCACCGCAAGCATATTTGTGGAGGAGTCCCAATCCATCACAGTGGGTGCTAACAGCTGCCCACTACTCCTCTTGCTGGGTCCCCTATGCTTTCCCAGGTACGTGGTTCTCCATCCAGGAAGAACAATACACATGAGATAAAGTTTAATCAGTGAATTAAGTACGGTAAGATAAAAGAAAAGTTAAAACAATCTACTCTAGTGTGTTATTTTAAATGTATGTGTTGTTTGTCTCTGGAATGTTTCATGTAATGTTTGCAACAGCAGTTGACCACGTGTGTGCAAGGGGAAGCTACTGTATCCTGTTTGGAGAAGGGGGTAGGAGTTGGTGTTTTTATTTAGGTATTTCAGAATATTTGACACATCTTGTAAACACAGATACATTTGCAGGCGACACTTCGAGTGCATGCGTTGGCAATAAATTTGCAGATTCTTTAGTTCCTCAGTCTTACCCTTTACCCCAGGTTTTCAAGGCCTGTACCTTGGAAATCACAGAAGTAAGAAACAGTAACTTCCTGAGGTGTGGAGGCACAATTATAGAAGGTTTATAAAAGTGAAGCAGAACATGTTATTAGGGCTTGGGGCAGAAGCTTTTCTGACCATGGAGGTCAAACTCTAAGTCCCTTTTAGCTTAAAACAAAGTATAAAATGTGTCTTGGGATGCTGTGAAGACAGTCAGTAGACTCTGACATGGCGTTCACTTGTTTCTTCTGTTTCCATATTTGCTTCTCTAAGCTCCTTACCTGGATCCCAGATCACCTTCTCTTTCCTGACAACAGCATGGCCCTTCACTTAAGAACATGTCTTAGGGACTGGAGAGATGCCTCCATGCTTAAGAGCACCTGTTGCTCTTGCAGAAAACCAGGATTTGATACCCAGCACCCACATGGTGGCTCACAACCTTCTGTTAACTCTAGTTTCAGGGACCCAACGTCCTCTTCTGGTCTCTGCAGGCACCAAGCATGCATGTGGTGCACAGACATACATACAGGCAAAACACTCACCCACAAAACAAAATGAATAAAACTAAAAAAAAAGTAAATGGGCATGGTGGCATATGCGTTTAATCTCAGCACTCACAAAGCAGAGGCAGAAAATCATATTTTTATGAGTTCAAGGGCAGCCTGGTCTACCTACTGAACTCCAGACCAGCCAAGGATTATAAAATATTCTATCTATTCTAGTGCGTTATTTTAAATGTATGTGTTGCTTGTCTCTGGAATGTTTCATGTAATGTCTTCAAAAGCAGTTGACCACCAGCAACTAAAGCTGCTGAAAGGAAACGTGTGTGCAAGGGGAAGTTACTGTATCCTGTATTATATTATTATATTATATTAATTATATTATAGTGTATTGTATTATATATAAGATTTTATATATGTGTGAATATGTATAATATATAAATATATAATTTATATAATTATAAATTTTTATAAATTATTATAATTATATATATATATACACACACATACATATATAAAATCTTAGTTTCCAAAACTATCTAGACAGCAATACCATCTAAACAAAACAACTGAACTGACTGGATTCTCCCTGCTTTGGATATTGTCTAGTTGCCCCATTTTAATGGAACCATGTTGTAAGCTCCAAAAGCCTGAAAATGGAGGAAAGACACCCCTTCTGTTTCTGAAGAGCAAGTTGCTGGATTCCATCTCATGTCCTCACTCACGCATGCACCCCCATACACACACACACACACACACACACACACACACCACACACACACACACACTTTTCTGTCTTGCCCTGTGCATCAGCAGAAAATTTGATTCAAGGCAAAGTTTGCAACTCTCTAAGCATGCACCCACTCACAGCTCCCCAGACAAGGAGCTAAATAAATACTCAACAAATGCTGGTGTGAAGGGGAAACAAAGTAAAGGATTTGGGCCGGGGGCTCGGTGTGAAACACGGTTATGATGTGTGAAGTCCCAGCAGGACGATTGAAAGCATTGCTATTTTTTTTTTTTAATTGTCTAGTAGATTTAACTCAGGAAAAGTATATTCCCAAATTGGGGGAAGGAGATTAATTTAAGAATAATAATAATAATAAAGGGAAGGGAAAGGAGAAATGAAGGAAGAGAAGTCTTAGAATTTTTTTTTTAAAAAGGTCTTGGAGTTATAAAAAAATTCTTGCCAAATATTATTTTAAATGGCTGGAATATAAACAACTCTGAAATATGTGGATCGAATTTCCTCTCCAAGGGACATTTGGGTGTAAAAATGTAGGCAGATCAGTGTTTGGAAAAAATATTAAGCCTTATGAAATTCAAAATATTTATGAAACAGTTTAATGGTGGCTTCCCACAAATGTACTCACAAGCATCCTGAGGGAACAGTTTACTGAGCCAGGCCTCCCTATGAGAGAGTGAGCCAAACTTGGGAGGAAGGTTCTCTCTCACGGCCCACCTACTCTGTTCCTCTCTTAATGCTTTGGCAGTTATCATGGCGGCACTCTGAAGACAGGAGAATTTCTAGTCTGAGTCTAGTCTGGAATACCCAGCAAGACCCTGTCTGCAGAGAAAGAAAAACGAAGGGAATGCATTTTTAAAAATGTATTTATCATTTAATGTATTTATTAATGTATTTTAAAATGTATTTATTAATTATTTTGCATAATCTACTTTTTGATGTTTTAATGGGCCAGACGTAAAGCTGTCACCTCCTCTCCTCTCTGTTATCTCCTCCCATTATCTCCTCTCCTCCCTCTCACCTGCCTAAGCAAATAGTTAAATGGAACACACACACACACACACACACACACACACACACACACACACCCGCCTCCCTCGCCTCCCTCAGCCCCTTTCACCTTGCTCTATCTCAAGCTCCAGAGGCAAACCAGTGGAATTGTTTTTCCTTTCCTTTTTGTGGTGCTGGGGAACTGAACCTGAGGCTTGTGCCTGCTAGGTCAGTGCTCCACTTCCACCCAGCTCCATCTCCCACCCAAGTCAGTAGCTCTAATCCTGCCAGAGCCTCCACCTAATCTGTTCTCAGGTTCAAGTGACCTGGACCTCAACTTCCTCTTCTGTAAAATGTACATCGTCCTCACGCCTGCCTCCCTAGGCTGCTGCTTTAGAGAAGCAAATGTGTGAAGAGCATGGATGAGAACACAAGACCTTTGCCAATGTTATCCAGTATCACTGTATTGTTATTGCAGCCTTCCAAACGGGAATAACCAAGCCGTGAACATTGACGATCGCCTTGTTTGGATGATGGGATGCGACTGGGAATGTTTTGCATTCTGACAGCCAGCAAGTTTTGTCTGTCTGAGGGAAGAGAGACTCTACGAATTAAGAACCCTGCCTTTGGCGCCAGACCTCAGGAGCTCTGGTCAGCATCAAAAACAGGCTGGCCAAAGCGGCAAGGTGATAGAGAAACTTGATACAAAGCAAAAATAAACAGCAATAAAAATGAAAAGGGGCGGGAGGAAGAACACCAGACTTGGGACACAAACTCTGGGTTTGGGGCCTGTATCCTTTGTGTGAGAGCTGGGTCACTTTGAACCAGTTAGAGTTTTAATGAGGAATACGCCGTCAGTGACTTTAATACTGAGGAGAACGCTATTGGCTCCAGGGAGGCAGCATTGGCGGCCATCTTCAGCAGTGAAAGAAAGGTATTGCAAGCAATACTGTGGTTCTACTCTGTATGTGATTCCATTACAGGACAGTCAGGGTGGGACTCAGGAAACACCATGCAAATCCCTCCAAATGCTTAAGGCCACTCCTAGGAATACCCTGTGATGTGCAAATCAATGAGCTCAGTATCACAACTTCTCTTCTGTGCAAATTCATATCTAGACTCAAATAAAGAGATGGAGTCCAGCAAGAGGACTCCTTAAGAAAAGGTGCTTACCATCAAGTGGCCTAAAGCCCTGAATTGTATCCTCAGGACCCATATGGTCCCATACACACAGCATCTGTGTGTGTGCGTCTGTGTGTGATTTTTTTATTTAAAAAAAAAAGTATTTTAAAAGAGGTAAGATCAGCCAGGCAGTGGTGGCTACACATGCCTTTAATTCCAGCACTCAAGAGGCAGAGACAGGTGGATCTCTGTGAGTTCAAAACCAGCCAGGTCTACAGAGTGAGTTCCAGGGCTGTTACACAGAGAAACCCTGTCTCAAACAAAACAAAACAAAACAAAAAAAGAAGTAGAATCCTAGAACTCAGGGAATTTCATCTGCTCCATGGGCAGGAAACTTGAGCATGATGGGACAGTTGACAATTGGGAGAGCATAATGACCTGCCTGTGTTTATTAGCTTGTCCCAGGCAGAGACTAAAATAACCAAAGCATCTCGAAGTCAATAGCGAGTCAAGGAGCTGGGTGAAGGACGAATGAGCAGTAGGAATCTCAGCCTTCTCCCCTCTTCAGCATCTACCTTCCCAGCAGAGTCTGTACCTCCCGGCTGCCCTTGGGAGAGCAGTTTGCACACATGCCCACTCCCCTGTTAAGAGTGTTGACCCATGGGATTTTGTATCTTCCTCACCCTTCGGAGCTTTGGGGTTAGTGGGCATGCTGGATTTTAATTTGAGTCAATCCTAAGAAATCCAATCCACATCCTCTGAGAAATTCCATTCCCATCCTGATTTTGCAATAGGCAAACTTTTCAACAAATAGAGCTGGAATTCCTAAAATAAGCTCTTTTGGTAGAAACTGAGAAGTGGTAATTCCAGGCAGTCACAGGCCCACCGTGTACAAACCCTTCCCACTGCAGTCACGCGCACATTCTCTGAGCCTCAAATAGCCACTACTTTCATTTCTTTCACATTTCTATGCCCTTTCTGAATTTTAAGAAAACAAATCTGTGTTGTAAGGGTGTGTGTTTCCGCCTTGATCTCTTTTTCTAGTAGCAAAATTTAAGAGTTTTATTGCAAATAATTAAAAAATTTCTGTTTGATTTTAAGGCAAGGCTATGTAACCAGTTGGGTCACATAGAAGTCTGTAATTGTCCTGCCTCTGTCTACCATGATGGAAACTGCACTGGAATATCTTTCTTTATTTTCTGCTTCTTTTTCCCCCCTCCAGTTGGTTAGTTGGTTGGGGGTGGGGGGATTGTTTTGTTTTGTTTTGCTTTGTTTTATTGCTTTTTGGGTTGGGGATTTTGGGTGTGTGTGTGTGTGTGTGTGTTTTCACACAAAGGACTGAATATAGGACCTTGAAAGCGCTCTACCACTGAGCTATATCTCTAGGTCATTTTTAGCACCTTCCTTGTTTTCAGAAAGTATTTGAAGTGGCTTTCATAAGTACACTACGACAGGAAGTATCTGTAACACACAAATGGTTCTAGCATGTTGCCCAAACTCGCTGAAACAAGGCCATTTCTATTTTCCTCACTGGCTATGAGTGCACTCGAGTGTATTTGGTTGCTGTAAGATGGGTCCGTGCTACCTGAAATGAAACTCCTCAGATGGACGAGACAGTGTTACCGAGTCGGCACTTTAGTCATTTAAGCACAGAACGCTGTTGGAAAGATGCAACAGCTCCAGAAACAGAGCATACTGACAGCGATGGCAGGAATTCCTGACGGCATCCATGAGTCCTCCATCACTTCACATGGCTCTAAGCAGGCCTCATGAAGTCTATCTTTGATCTTTCATGCGTGTAACTCTCCATCACCTTCCCTCTGGCTGCTGTGTTTGTTCATCGCTGTTTTACCTCCATTTTCTTTGCTCTTTCAGGTTTTCCAGAGGCTACTCCCTCACTGTGGGAGCACATTCTCTTTCAAAAAAGGGAGCCCATGAAACAGACATTTGAGATTGAAGAATTCATTCCATTCTCAAGATCTCAGTCAGATTTCACATCACATGGTATCATGCTAATAAAGGTAGGTAGATTTGCCTCCCTTGGCCCCTTCAATGTTCTCATAAAGGACCACTCGGTTAATGAAAGCATTTTGACAGCATGCTCCCCAAGTTTGTGGTAACTGTGCAATATTCTACAAGGGCCCATATTACTCCATATATCCCCTGAAAGAAAAAAAAAAATCACAACTGTGTGAGAGATGTGTTGACACAAGGGAAATCAACGCTACTGCTCACTACATAGAAAAGCAACGTGTCAGCAGACCCAGGGATCTGCAGGCGACACTCCCCCCCCCAAATGCTTTTTCCATTAGCAACTAAAAACGACAACGGTTGTTTATGTAACAGAGCCAACCGAGTGACTTTGGGGAATCAGAAATAAGTTAAAACTTAGTGTAGACCACGCTTTGTCCAGTCCAGATGTAGTCTAGACCATACTCGAGGACCCTGTCCAGCAGGAAGCAGCCCAGCCCACAAAGGCGCGACCTATACATGTCATTCCACAGAAAACTATCCAACGCAGGGCAAAGGCCAGTTTGCTCGAGACTGGGTGGGACTCCTACTCTATGAAGAACGGAAAGCACACTCAGAAGAAACAACTGCCAAAAGTGCAACAGCAGACCATCATCAAAGTGCCTTCAAGAGGAACGGATGCCTTCCCGAGGCAGAGGGACCACACACCCAATGCACAGCCAGACCAGGCCTGATTGCAGAAAAACCACTGGGGAAGAACAGTTTGCTCATTTTTTTTATCTTTCAGCTTCACGCTGCGGTGGAACTGAACAAGCACATCCAACTTCTTCACCTGAGGTTCAAAAGCTATATTAGAGATGGAGCCAAATGCCAGGTTACCGGCTAGGGAGCCCCCAACCCGGATCTGTTAGCCTCCTCCGACACCCTGCAAGAAATCACCGTTACTATCATGAGCAGAAAACGCACAACAGCCAAAGCTACTACAGCCACAGCCCTGTTGCAACCAAGAACATGACATGTGCGGGAGATACCAGAGGCCGAAAGGACTCCTGCCAGGGAAGCCTCCGCTTTCAGGGTGGGGTCCCCGACTACGGTGACCACTGAACTGCCGTCAGCTCTGCCTTTTCTGACACTGAGGAGACAGGTGGCGTGCAGGATACCACAGTTCTGAAAAGTCACTGTCCCATCCTGCAGTGTCCTCTACTCTTATTTGTCTACCAGTGTGAACTTCTCCAGCGTTTCTGTGGCGCTCATCAGATGCTTGTCTGGCTAATCAAACCAGAGACTGTATCTTTGCAGGAATCCACTGAAGGGCATTAGCATCCTTAGGAAGCCTGTCGACCCTGAGGTCGCAAGTGGGAGGTAACATACCCGTCCCCAAAGGACCATCTTTTAAAGTGATCATTAAAGAGGACTGACAAGGCTCATCAAATGGACAGCATATGTTTCTTAAAGTAACATGGACAAAATGCTACTCCACATGGCTGAGAGCCCCTGGAGCTTTATTTTTCACTGTCCTGGGAGTTGGAAAGTCCAGATCAAGATGGCAGTAACTGTGGTGTCTCATGAGGGAACGTGCTCTGCTTCACATATTGTCTCTTTTCATCCTACTCCTGTGGCAGGAGTGAGAAATCTCTGGGCTTTTTAAAATTGGAACTTTAACCCTATTCACGAGAAACCATGCTGCAGGACCTCTCAAATCCCCGCCTCAACCACTATCCCTTGGGAGACTGGATTCCTCCACATGACATAGGGAACACAAATACTCAGACCCTAGACTGGATAATGGTCGTTCTCTTTCAGAATCTTTTGTGTGCTGCTAGAGTAAGAAAACACTGGGTACACAATTTAGATGACTAATTAGTAACATAGATAGCTTATTAGTTGTAAACTGTTCTTATACTGTATTTATTTATTTACTTACTTACCTATTATGGGTGTGGGCACAGAAATGCATGCTATAGCTCATACCTGGAGGTCAGAGGGCAACGTTTGGGAAATGTGTCAGAAAATGCAGAACTGACGGCCCCATGTGGGTCCTGGGGGTGAAACTCAAGCCATCAGACGTGGCGACAAGCACAATTACCCACTGAGCTATAGCTTGCTGGTCCCAGATGACTAATATTTTAAAAATAGAGTTTCATACTCACATCCTACTAGATTAAGCCTTACTGAGTTGGTTTAAGAACTTTGTATCTGTGGAGCCCCAAGACCAGCACCCTCGTAACCAGCTCAGCATCAGCAACTGGCCCTGACAAGGTCCTGCACGTTGTCATATGACCAGCAGCAGAGACAGACATTGGTCCTCATATTTGAAAGCCAACTCTTTGACCCAAAAGGCCACACCATCGTCTGTCTCTATGGGTACCTCATTTGTGGCAGAATTCAGTTGCATGCTTTGTTAAAAGTAGATCCTCTGCAGTCACCTCAGTCAGCAAGTAAGTGGTCACCTACACAACGCCATCTTCAAATGTGGGAGAGTGGCACGACATTGACCGCCATCACGACATTGACCGCCATCACGACATTCACCGCCATCATGACATTGACCTCACTGCTTTTCCTTTCCACTGGTCTCAGTAACAATTTGATCCCAAGCCCACTAGCGTCACACTGAAATTCACAGTTCTGAGGTTTTCTTTTATTTCAGTGGATAATTTCAAGCTTCATGCCTACCTGTTCTCTAACTAGCAAAGCTCAGAACTCACTTATTTGTTATCCCCTTTTAAAATATATTGTATTTTGATTTCTTACGCCTCTTCTTCCCTTCTCCACCCTAATCCCTTCTAATACTCAACACCAGGTAGGAGAGAAAGAGGGTTAATTGGGAGAGGGGGAGTGGTTTTCCTTCACTACTTCCTGCTGGCTAGGGTCATTGAGTTCCTTGGGGCAAACCCAATCCTTGTTTTAGGATATTCCCAACTTCTTGTCACACTGCATCAGCAGCAACCAGGAGCAGCAGGGGAGAAGCACCAGCAGCTTTCTTTTTCTCTGAGCCCCCCTTTCACTCTCTGGGCTCTGGAATTTATTCTCTCTCCAGAATCCTCAGAATTAAACTATCTGCAGTTGTCAAAGAGGCCCTCCCAGAGCCCACACAAGGCAAATAGTTTGCTGCCATGACCAGTCTGAATCAGTCCTGTATCCTACACCTGGGATTAAAACAAAAACATGTTTACATAACATAACTGAGTTTTAAAGACAACAAAACTTCCACATAACTGATTTCCAAAGGGAGGTGTGCATATAGACATAGAGCAGATAGAACAGAGACATAAAATGGACAGAGAGACAAATTCACAGTTATAGACAGAGATGCAAACACAGGGAGAAGAATTCATAGACAGACAGTAGACAGACAGACAGAGAGACAGACATCGAGAGTCTATTCTGAATAAGAGGCCATCCTAGATACTCTGAGTCAGGGGTTTCAGGGAAACTGCACGAGTTTCTCACTAAGTATCTGCCCATTTTCCTTTTCTAGGGAGACTCAGGTGGCCCTTTGATCTGCAAAGGTGTCTTCCATGCCATGGTCTCTCAGGGCCATAGATTCGGCATCATCAATACGCCTGGAATCTATACCCTATCGAGCAAGAAGTATCAGACCTGGTTCAAAAGCAAGCTTGCCCTGTCAAATGCAAACGCAGATCATCGCAAATGGTTTTCTTAGGCCTGCCAGTCACTTGCTTCTTTTTCCATTATGTGCTCACAGATCAACTTCATCTTCAGAAATAGCTGGCTATAGAGAGTGTGACATAGCTGGGATGTATTTCTGTTCCCTAAAAATTCATTGTGTTAAGGAACCATGCTCTTTTTCCTGTGCATTAATTCTCTTCTTCTTCTTCTTCTTCTTCTTCTTCTTCTTCTTCTTCTTCTTC